GGAGGCTACCCTCGCTGATATCGGAATGTACCACGCTTGGACAAACGGGGGCCATACCAAAGGAGAGCTGGAGGTGGAAGGTACCAATGCAAACTATTCCATTCCAAGTGTTTTTGACTATATTTTACCCAAATTCGCCATATTGAGTGCTTGTTTTCTGACATTTAAAAGCAGTGCCGAGAATGGAGCTGAACTTAAGCGCAGGCCCGAGGGCCTGAAGCCTCTCTGTACAAACAAAGAACTCATGGCAGTGGGTGTTGCAATCATGAACCGTACTCTCGCTAGTCCGCACACGGCCTGAACTGTTCTCTTGTGGTTTCCAATGTCTCATTCAGAAAAACAACTGGAGGTGTTGCAGGATATTGCCGATCTGACAGTCAAGGCCACCGACCAGGCTTTGTTTAAGTGCGAGGTGTCGGACGATAAGGTCACAGGAAAGTGGTTCAAAGACGGAGTGGAGGTCCTGCCGAGCGAACGCATCAAGATGACTCACATCGGAAGGTATAAGGATGCACGAATGTATTCAAATGAATTTGTGTTATTTGACATAACTAAGGGTCGAACCCCGTCTTGCATTCTTGTCTTCTGTGTTGCTTGTTTCAGGTTTCACCGGCTGCTTATTGAAGACGTGAAGCCAGAAGATGCCGGAGACTACACGTTTGTTCCCGACGGGTACGCGCTGTCAATTTCTGCCAAACTCAACTTCTTAGGTGAGAAAGAAGAAATGATTATAGATGTGCGATCATCGATGCATTCATCATAAGCTCCTTATATTGAATTGTCTAATATCGTTTTTTTCTCAAAACAGAAATTAAGGTTGACTACGTGCCAAGACAAGGTAGGTAGCCTTTGCGTTGACTCATTTTAAACATATTTTAAGTCTCTTTTAACTTCATTTCTCAGACCCAATTTTTATTATCTATTCACCAGATCCTCCAAAGATCCACCTGGACACCACTGGAAACATGGTGTCACAAAACACCATCATTGTGGTGGCGGGAAACAAACTCCGCCTGGATGTTGAGATCACAGGAGAGCCAGCACCCACTGTTGTGTGGTCGAAAGGAGATAAAGTAAGTATGCGACAAGCAAAGGCTCCCCGTACGCTGCATCCCTAACTCACTGTACCTAACGCAGTAGCTGACCGTAACAGGTCAAGAAGAAAGTAACGTTTGGGAAGATCAGACCGACCTGTTTGTGCAGCCCGGCCTGATTCTGGGCTCCAAATCTTCTCTCTGTCACTGGGCTTTGGCGAACTGCGACCTCACCCGAAAACAAAACTCATGTTCTGTTGACATGCGGCCCGGGCCAATGGGAATGTCTGTGCCCACGGGCAGTTATAGGGGCACAGGGGCGCAGAAGAGACATCTCCGATGTACACAGTCACAGTGACTGTGTCCTAGAGAGACAACTCAATGCTCTGTGTTTTACCTCGTTGCTGCCCGAGTCTCCCCCTGCTCAACTCAAATGTCTCGTGAATGCCCTTTTGATCGCTCAAATGACCCTGTTATTTGCCCCATAGTCACTGAACCCCGCTTTTAGCCTTTATTTACTTTTCACACCTCATCCCCCCTCCCCTCCCGTCCCCCTTTGCACAACCCCGGCTAGAAATGCAAAATGCACATTTTAGTGACAAGCAAACCCAAAATGCGTGAAATGTAAACGTCCCTCTTTAGTTAACCCTGCTTAACCCAGACGTTGCTTCTCAAGACGAAAGTGCGTATTGCATCTTTCGCTCATCAATGTACACACTACACATGGTAGTGTGTACATTTGAAGCTTCATTTTAAGTTGAGCAAAGTTACGTCGTTTCCACTCGGCAATTCTCTTTCTTCTTATCAGGTAATTTCAGAGACTGAAGGACGCGTAAGGGTGGAGGCCAGGAAAGACCTGAGCTGCTTCGTCATAGAGGGGGCAGAGAGGGAAGACGAGGGCAACTACACCATCTGTGTTACCAACCCTGCTGGAGAGGACAAGGCCATGCTGTTTGTGAAGATCGTGGGTAAGTGTAGATCTCCTCGTCAACCGCTAGTCACTTGCGTGCTTTCAAATAATTGAAATGTATTTCAAACGTTAAATCTGTCGTCTTATTTTAGACGTGCCCGACCCCCCCGAGAACGTGAGATGCCTCTCGGTGGGAGAGGACTGCGCCACCATGATGTGGGACCCTCCTGTATTTGATGGCGGTGCGCCACTCAAAGGTGAAGGTTACATTCTGGCTCGATCGTCCCCTATCTAGATCGCTACTAGTGTTTCTGTGGGTTCTTACATTTTTATTCTATCTTCATCTCCATCAGGTTACCTCATGGAGCGGAAGAAGAAGGGCTCCTCCAGATGGACGAAGCTCAACTTTGATGTGTATGAATCAAATTCATACGAGGCGAAGAGGATGATTGAAGGTGTCATGTATGAGATGAGGGTGTTTGCCATCAACAGCATTGGTATGTCTCAGCCGAGCCTCACCTCCAAGCCCTTCATGCCCATCGGTAGGTGTTGCAGCCCTCTTTCCAGGGTCCTTCCTCAGCTACCTCCCCCTGTGCAGCCCTTAACTTCTGTCAACCCAATGATCATCTCGGGTCTCTTTTCCCTGTCACCCTCAGCCCCGACTAGCGAGCCCATACGTCTGACGGTGCACGATGTGACGGACAGCACGTGCACCCTGAAGTGGCTCGCCCCGGAGAAGATCGGCGCTGGAGGCATGGATGGCTACGTCATTGAATACTGCAAAGAAGGAGGTGATGAAACCAATCCGAGCATACTGAGAGAACAAGATTTAAATCCCAGTAACTGCAATTTACTGCATGTAATCTCTCTGTTATTTCAGACACTGAGTGGGTGGTGGCGAACCAGGAACTTTGTGAAAGGCAGGGATATGTGGTGCGTGGCCTCCCCGTGGGGGAGAAGATCAACTTTAGGGTGAAAGCAGTCAACATCGCCGGACAAAGTCCTCCAGCTGTGCTGTCGCAGCCGGTCACCATCCGTGAGATCATGGGTGAGTCAGTCGGGATCACGACCCAATGAGCACCTCGCGTTGAGTTACAGCATTTTCAGAGGCAAGCGGTTCATGCTCCGACGTTCTTGGCTTCAGAGTATCCTAAGATCCGCCTCCCTCGCGAGCTGAGAACAAAGTACATCAGGAGAGTAGGAGAAAAAATCAACCTGACCATCCCGTTCCAGGTTTGAAATCATTTTTAATATTTTGCATTATATAGGTTTTACTACACTGATTTTCATATTGCTTTTCTTCATTCCACCACATTGATCAGTGTTGTAGTCATTCATTGCTAAATTGGGGTCATAACCTTAAAATAAGACTTCCCTTTTTAGGAGCCAGCTTACTTCAAATTTTCCTGTAAATCCGTAGCTTATAACATGTCAGCTAATATAACCACATGATCAAGATTTTCTTTTTCATTCAATAATTTTGCATCATTTAGGAGGTGTAAGAAATAATTTCCAAACAAACAATACGTCACTTCTGTGTCTTGAAGGGTAAGCCGCGTCCGGTCGCAATCTGGTACAAAGACGGTGAACCCATTGACCCCAAGATGGTCAACGTCCGCAACTCCAACGTGGACAGCATCCTCTTCATCCGCGAAGCAGAGAGAGCGCACTCGGGGACGTATGAGCTGGTGCTGCAGATCGAGAACATGGAAGACAGAGCCTCCATCGTCCTCAGGATTGTGGGTAAGGTTGTCGTTTCTCCTTCATCTGTCCGGGCGGGAACTATTCCTTTAAGACGTTCTTTATTGGCATAAAATCGCTCCTTGGATTATGTCAAATTAATCACAACTGAAATTAAATGAACACCTGATATGTATTCCATTCAGATAAACCCGGACCTCCTATGAAGCTGAGGGTGACAGACGTCTGGGGCTTCAATGCGGCTCTGGAGTGGGCGCCCCCAAAGGATGACGGCAACTGTGACATTACTGGATACACCATCCAGAAAGCGGACATGAAGACTAAGGTGAGGCCACGTTCCAGACCTTCAGTGGGGCCTGCAGCTTCACTGCAATGCTGCGCTTATCACCCTCTCCTCGTTCTACGTGCTCAATTTGCGGTTCAACCTTTTCCTCTCTCCCTTCAGGAATGGTTCACCGTTTATGATCACAACAGACGGACAAACTGTACAGCTTCAGATCTGGTCATGGGCAACGAATACATGTTCCGAGCCTTCAGCGAAAACCTCTGCGGCCTGAGCGAGGAGGCGTGCCTTAGCAAGAACACGGCTGTCATCGCCAAGACAGGTGTGTGCGCGCGTGTCGGTGTATGTACAGCGCACTGTGTCTTTGTGGCATGGACTGCATTAAACTAGCGTTGAGGTTGGGTTGACCACGTTTGCTTGTCCTCCCATCCTTCTCCATAGACCTGGAGCACAAAAGAAGCCCGTACAAGGAGAAAGAGATTACCTGCGTGCCCAAGTTTACTCAGCCCCTGGTTGATCGGTCCGTGGTGGCCGGTTACAGCACCGCCATCAGCTGCGCCGTGAAAGGGTTCCCCAAGGTAAACACGCGTGTTAAAATAGCCTGTGGAGGGTGAGTGACAGCGTGAGTCACAGCACGAGGCTGAGGAGGCCATGTGTTTGCTCATTTGACTTTGTTTCTCTTAGCCTAAGATTGTTTGGATGAAGAACAAGATGATCATCGGTGAGGATCCCAAGTACTTGATGCGGAACTACCAGGGAGTTCTGACCCTCAACATTCGCAAGCCGGGCACCTTCGACGGAGGCAAATACTCCTGCATGGCTGTCAATGAGCTGGGCAAGGACGAGGTGGAGTGCAAGGTGGACGTCCGAAGTAAGAGCAGAGGGGAGGAGAGGGACGATGGAGGAGGGGGAGCCTTTGTAATATGAATGCCGATGTTCTGTCCTGTCATCCCACAGTTGCCACGGATCCAGAGAAGAAGTGAGAAACCGAACAGCAAGGAATGTGAAATCATATGAGCCAAACAGTGAATGCACACTGTCAAGCGTGGATCTAATAAAATGTAGTAATGCCTGCTATAAATAATTGTTTATTTTGAATATGTTTATGTATATTGCTTTAGTCATTCACACATTATTCATAGAAGAAAATCTCCACAGACAGCCAATCAGGATCTGAAATTTTAAATACATGGCACATTGTTAGTAGTAGCATTTTTCTGTGTTTTGCGCAGTCGTCTGCACTACACCTCCCTGGAGTAGTGCACTCTCCTCTTGTGGATTGTCACTCCTATACTGAACAACAGCGCCACTACCAGGAGACCGACAGCCACTGCAAGAGCTGTGATGACACCTGTGGGAGACAACAATCCCGTTAAAGTGTGTGTGTGTGTGTGTGTGTGTGTGCTTCTGGAACATTTGGTGATGATATTTTTAAATCACGCAGTGTGTGATGAAAATCCCCCACACCGGTCTAGAAGGTAAATACAGGGATGGTCATGTTGCACTGGGGGATTAACAAGGCCACAAATGTTTGTTTGAAAATAAAATAAATTCTTCTTCTTCACCTGTGCTTGACAATCTAGTCCTGAACCCACACTCAGCCTCCCAGTCCTCTGTCACCACGTCCCGCACCAGCTCAGTGAACGTGGCCAACGGGCAGGGGTTCAACCCGTTGCATCCCGCCACTTGGTTGGGGTAAGGGTCACGCAGGGAGTCGTTGCGGTAGTACAGCTCCAGAGAATAGGAACTGGGGGATAAACACAACTGCATGACACGCACGTGTGGTATTCGTTACAATAATCCTAGCGAGCTGGGTGTCATCAGGATATGAGTGGATATGGGGATCATTAGTCGTCAAGGGAGAGAATGTAGAAGAGCAGGGGACCGAGTAACAGACCATGGGGGACGCCTGGCGAGACAGGCCTGTGCCAATGACACGGAGGGTGGGCGATGGAGTCGGTGATGGTTTTTGTCATGTGCTAATATGGATTAACATATTCCCATCAGATGGAAAAGCAACAGCATGAACGCACTTGGTTAGGTGTGGCTAAAAAGTGGGATGCAATTGCTCAAACTATAAATGGCCATCTGACCTAGATAGGGTAATTAAATATGCAGAGGGGAGGTGGGACGTCATTACCCATCATACTCCTGGTAGAACTCAAAGAGTTGACAGGCAGCATAAGGAGGAAGAAGGCCGTTGTACACGTCCAGCGCGGCCTGGAGGGTGATGAGTGTAGAGTCGTGCTGGAACGAGAAACATCGAGGAGGAGATACGACATGTGCAACCAGCGGTTTACACAATAGATTATGAATGTGTGTATGCGCCCCAAACGTTGAACTTACAGCTGAATACATAATGAATTTGAGAGTGCTCCCTTGCTCTACAGCCTTGGAGAAATTCCTCAGAATGGCATTCAGCAGCACCCCTGGTAAATTAACACAAGAGTCAACAGGGCAAATACATTTTTCCACCAACACAATTGTTTTGACCTTACTGAGCACCATGTCATAGCGCCGTAATCATCTTTGCCCCATTAGCTCATATGTGCGTACGTGCTTTTGGGCGGCCCGGCTCAGCTCTCTCGGAGGCATAAACAAAGCCTCAGCCAGCAGTCACAACATCAGATACACAACGGGTTTTTTTTTGTTTACTCTGATTTCCACTTGGTATGAACTCCTTCACGATGGGAACCCTCACCTCCCGAGAGCCGAGCCTTCTCTTTGCGCTTGTGACTGAGGATGCTGTACATGACCTCAAATGATGCAATTTTCTTCAGGGTGTCCAGAACGTCTTGGGTGGCCCAGCGGGGGAGAGTCAAGTTATGGATCCGCTGCAACAGAAGAGCATCCGTCACAACACATCACGCTGATAATCACATTACACAACACTTGAATCCCGACAAAAGGGTTGGGAATGGCTGACGTTCAACGTTTCTACTATCCCGCCTATTTTTAGCGCCGGTCTGAAGATAACAGATGCTCATTTTCTAAGTGTGAATGAGCATATTTAGCCCAGACTCCACCCATCTCATTACGCTTTAATTATCGTTTCAATGTGTTGTCCTATTCGTGTCTTACTGTAGACATAAAAATGATTCCTGCTCGCTGCAGAAGAAAACCGGTCCCTTCTCCTTCCCCTCTTTCTGTTTCACTATGACTGCTCTGCAGCTGGCAAATTGCAAACTGGAAAACACAGGGGAGTGTAAATGTGTTCAAGTGCCTGTTTAGGTGTGCAACAGCGAGTATACCTGACAGGTAAGAGTGTCGTAGACCCGCCACATTTTTTTGCCAACCAGTTTGGAGACGGGGTAGCCAGTGTGGTTGGAAAGTCTCTCCACAAAGTACTGCAACGTGATGGAAAGGAGAGAACACATTAAAGCAGACGCTTTTATCCAAAGCGACTTACATTACCCTTTAAACACATTTTGCCGAGGGAGCAATTAGGGGTTAGGTGTCTTGCTCAGGGACACTTCGACTTGAGACACAGGGCAGCCGGGACTTGAACCACCAACCTTGCAGTTCCCAGCACACCCTCCCTACCTCTAGCGCCACGACGACCCTCACTTAAGCAAACTGCAGGAAAAATCACACATTATACAATTTGCCTGTTGAAGTTGGGAAGAATAGTCTGACAGAACTACGTTTTATACAGTTTGATAGTTTAATCGAGTGATTCCAAACATTGGGGGCGGAGGCCTTCAAAGGGTAACAACGCAAATCTTGCAGGTTACGAGGTGATTCATGTTTTTTACAATACATTTGAGAAAGGCGCTCAAAATACACCATGTAATACAAGGGGTCATGAAGTCAAAAGCGCTGCAATTCAACAAAATTGAACACTAGATTCTTCTGTATACACTTAACATTTCATTTTGTAATGCAACATTTCTTTTTTTCTAGGTGGCACAAACATATGGAGGACTACAATTAACAATGTTTACCCTTGAAATATTGTGGGTTATAGGTGTAAAGTATAAAATTAAGTTTTATCAAGTTAAAGATAAGTAGCTCAAAATTTCACTAAAGCACAACGTCCAACTCTTCACTGACGGTTTATTCAATGTTGTTGCAGATGTTACAGAACAGAATTGCAGAAACTAGGTGCTTAATTGAATGAATTTGTGTAGTTTATTGATTCAACGTCGTTCCCTTCAGCCTTTGGTCATATGAAAACGCTACCACATCCGTCACTGCATCCAACCTGCAGGTACTTTGCCTCCAGCAGAGGGTGTGAAAATTCCTCACCCCATCCTGATCTCAAACAGCAACCTAATAGGCAGCACATGGGACACTGTTTAATTAAACCCTCTTATTGTAATTCTTAATCTAATTCAATCCGAGCGTTAATTAGGATCTCTGAGAATGTGAGAGAAATTGCAGTGTGCAGCTTTGTTCGAGGCACTGGAGTCACCGTGCCTGAGAAAAGTCCCCGAGAGGACATGATGTCTGCAGCATAACTGTCACGTCCACTGGAGGTGCTGATAATGTTGGCACCAGCAACTGTGAACTATATATGTCACTTTCTTGCACAAACGTGCACTTCACAGCGCTCGATGATTTGCGAAAGCGAGGCCAGAGAATGAGCAGAAGAGAAGCGACTGACGTGGGGAGAGCTGCTATTCACTTCACTTGTGGTCACCACGGTCTGACAATTAACAAACAAACACGTTTCTACTGGTTAACAAAGCACATGAATCATGGGAAAGTGATGTTTAACACGAGCTGAGCTGTGAACGGACACTAAAAACGAGTTACAGCGCATCCCGTCTCCTCCTATCGTTTGTCCTACCTGGTGAGCCCCGAGGAACCTCTGGTAGTGCTCGCTCTCAAAGGTCTCCGTCATCAGCGCTCTGAACCTGGGACAGTCTTTGCCCGGAGACTTCAGCAGCTTGAGAACAACAAACAGCCCAACATCAGTCGAAATAATGCACATTCACCGCAGCTGCTGCTGTCTTCTGGGCGCAATTACTCAATTACAGTGAGTGAAGCACGGCGGCGACCTGAAAGTGAACGCGAACGCGGCTCGGAGGCCCACCTTGTCCTGGGCCCTGGGGACGGTGTGCACCGGGACGGGCCTCCACGGTAACTGGGGCACGATGGGAGGCGGGCGTCTGGTCGGGGGGAGCATCCCGGCGAGGCACGCCTGGGCGCTCATCAGAGTGCGGTCGTAGTCGGTGCTCCTCACGTAAAGCTGTTGGAGGCGCGAAGGGAACAGGCCGTTGAAATGGATCCATATGTGGTTCTTTTTCAATTACAACAATCGGGCTCACGTTTAAAAAAATAGAAACCAATCTGCAGCGAGAAACTCCGAGGGATTGCACGTGGAAACCGCAGCCTCGCGTACTTATTTATTCAATAAAGATGCGAAAAGAATCGCACCCGGCAGTGCAGCAGTGAATCTTGAGTCAAGCGTAAGTCAACCGAGGTATTCCCTCGACGCGGGAGGGGAGGGGGGCGTCGAGGGGGGTCGGAGGAGATGCAAACGGATGAGAGATGTGGGGTGTGGGAGGGGGGGGAGAAAGATCCGTCCTACTGTGATCTCTCCTGACAACAGGCTTCGCACATCTACGTCTCTCTGTCGCCCTTTGTCAGGTTTTTGCACGCAGTAAATCACGCTGATGAGGTTGGACGTTCCTGTGATGCCGAGAATGCAAATTATAACAGCGCGGGGAAAAGGTACAGTTTAAGTTGACGAACACCTGACAAATCGGCAGTGACAGGTACTGAGATGAGCTGTTATCTTTGGGATAGTTGCTTGTTATATTTAAGAGATGGAGAAGACTGGATTCAAGGACCGGGAGGGGAGAAGATCCTCAGAATGAAAGTATGCTGACGGGCCTTCGAAGGCCGTAGCAGAGATGTAACCGAAATGACCTGCGCTCGTTGGGGTGTTCTTACCTCTTTGTTGCTGTAGTTCTCGCTGAGAAGGTTGCCGTAGCGCCTCTTTAGGAACATGCCCAGCTCAAACTGTTGTTTCATGCCCAGCTGAAAGGAACATCGGCACCGACGTTAACGTCTGTCGAATCGGACCGCTTGGGCTGATTTGAGATCAGATTCGATTGATCTGAGAATTGAAAATTCGATTTTTTTGTCCCGACTGTGACACCGAAGTGTTCTTTGCTCAGGAGCCGACTTTCTTGTCAAATAACGTATGAAGCTTCATTTGCGTTTAGATGATGGACTTGAAACCCTGAAACACACAAGAGCCGGTACCTCAGTCAGCTGTCCGAAGCCTTGAGCCCACACGTCCTCCCCGTGAGGGTCCCTGGGGTACGACTCCACGGGCGACCGGTCACCGTGCCGGAATACCTTCAAAGTCACAACGGGAGATGTTACGGTGCACTCGAGGAGGAGGAGATTAACGGGGAGAAGAGTCAGCAGAAGCAACCTGGGATCTCGGGTTTTGGAAAACAGGAGAGTCACTCTGGTGACACGAAAGGAGCGACGTGACACTACAGGTGGATTAAAGTGGTTGGTGGGAACATGTGAGTCACTCTCAGTGGCGGCAGCGTCATGTGCACATCAACAACAATTTGGAGGTAAAACCACCAAGTCAAGTCAGCAAAGCTGGGCTTTTCTTTTGAAGATAAATGTTAGTTTTAAAAACTCGCTGCCCTTCCAACAGGATAAAAGCACATAGACGGGACAAATTATGATGGAACAAAAAACTATTATACATAAATACATTTAAATTGTAATTTGTGAACAAAAACTTACACATTTACATAAAACAACAGTTTAACTAAACTTAATCTTTGGCTTTAGAAACTAAATAATAAATAGTAACTGTTAAGCTACAGTGTAAGTGTTGTTTGTGTAGATATCTGACAAACGCATTAGTGTAATATGGTCACATCATAACTCCTAAACCCTAATTAAACCCTTAAAATGTGCAAAGTTTAGGAGCGACGTGGTTGTGTGTCGGGGTGAGTTTAGCCTAAAAGTTATCCTTTGAATTTGTATAAATATAAACGCTCACTGAGCAGAAAATGTGACCAGAGACAAAGTGCCGTGTGATGCAGGAGAAAGACTTGATGATGTTGAAATGCTGTAAGTTAGCAAACGTCCTCCTCGTGCACACAGGAAGAGAACGAAGCTGAAGAGACTCACTGCCACCACGAACTTCAGCATCCTGCCCTCAGCCAGGCAGACGCCACACAGGAGGAGGAAAGCGCACAAACTTCTCCGGAACTTCCACATCTTTCTCACTCGTCGATCTCTACTTCCTTCACAGAGGCCCCTTGTTTGACGGTGAAAAAGGTCACAGCAGCAAAATACAATGAACATATAAAATATATATATATGTAATATAATTTAACTGCTAGAACATGCAACGGTGTTCATGTCAACTCCGTTTGAACAGTCGTGGAGGTTTAACAGATCACACCAAAGAACACGTGCACTCACCTCAGCAACGCTGTTCACACATGTTGCTGTTTGGATAGAAGCGGTCACAGGCAGAGGAGGACTGCTGCGCATCCCGAATCGGTGTCCGGACCCGGATTGACATGGAGTGGCTGTTCCAGTAACAGGAGGAGTGCTTTTGTAGCCCTCCTACCTGACCCCCCCGTCTCTCTCTCTCTCTCTCTCCCTCTGTCTCTCTCTCTCTCTCCAGTCCAAATCCTTTGGCAGACACATTTGAGTCATCTTTTGAACTTCAGGTTACATATTCAGCTCTTAGATGCGGATAAATCTCCTTCAAAGCCCCTTATTCTGAAGGACACTCAGTAACAATATGAGAAGAAAAAAAATGGGTTAAACTAAAGACGTGTCCACCTGGCTTCCTGAGTTGTGCTTCTCGAGCATAAGCACACGCGCGCACACACACGCGCGCGCACACACACACTTCCACGCTGGCTCTGGGCCACAAACACTCATTATAACTTGCTATGTCATCTGCTGTGGGTTTGGCCTCAAAATTACAGGCCCCGAGTGTTTTCCCTGACTCGACACACATGTAAGTATCTGTTAGTATCAAAGCAGCTTTGTGGGACACAATGGGATTAGTGAGTGTGAAGATTTAGAGCCATAAATCTTATTTGATAAGTGTAAGATATGATCTATTGTGCTAAGTGATACGGAGTACAATATTCACAGGGGTGACCTGTCAGTGTAACATTAAATTAAGGCTGAATTGACATTGATTTTGAGTAAAAGAGGACAGATTGTCACCCACAGAGAAGAAATACCAGAATGTAAATCCTAATTACATAACTATGTCTGAGGATGTTTGATGTTTTTCTTCTGCCAGATTATTCCTCCGTGACATCGTCATCCTAAAACGACACGTGTTCAAACCTCACCGCTGGACTTGTTTCTTCATCACATCAGACGTTTGGCATCGAGTCATTGAAGGCAATCATTCAGATACGAAAAAATAAAAAGTACCACCATATAATTATTACCCATTTATTGACAATTTAAATCTTCACCAGAAAATATGGTCTTTTTGGGGGGGATTTGTTTACAATAACAAAAGTAAAGAATATCCCAGGCCTTGTGCTTTAAGAAATTCAGCTGAATGAAAGCAGCCGGAAGTTAAAATAACCACGTTAAGAACACGCACTTCAAAGTGTATTCAAGGAGAAATCCACAGTTAACTTTCCACCACTGTGCAGATCTCTGTCGGCCATCTGTTGTGCTCTGTCTCTTCGTATCAGTGCGCACGGTACTGCTCACACCGTCGACAGCAAACACACACAAACACAAAGCCCACACATATGGTACTAAAACTGGTGCACGGGGGCTTTATGAAACCAGACGCATGCACGTAAGGGTCAGTGAGTCCACCTAACAGACGTACGTATTAAAGCGTCTGAGCGGCGGTGGAGAAGAGGACTTACATCACATGAGGCCAAGATTCAAACATATACATTTATGTGAACATTTGATACACACAAGTTCATCAGAGGGTCACTAAACACGTATGCACTGACTCACAACACTCCATCTCTCTCTCTTTCAGTGAGACAAACATAAAACACACACACACACTGTCCTCCCCCCCCCCCCCCCCCAAGTGACTGTAGTGTTTTTGTCCTTGTTGAAATAATTGCGGGGATTTTCAAGACTGTTGTCATGGCAACACAGAGGTTGATGCATGTTGACAGAATTTGTTGCAGGGCGACCAAGAGACTGAAAATGGGAGATAAGAGGTGGGGGGAGATGTGATGGTTGTGTAATGTTTGCGCTCAAGTGTGTGTGTGTGTGTGTTTGTGTGTGTGAGGGAGACAGTGGTGACCGCTGGTTGGGTTGGGGGGGGGGGACAATACGACAATAATAAACGTAGATGAGCCTTAGACTGATAGAAGAAGGCCTGAGATCAGGAACAAACAGTTATTAGCGCATTGTGAGCAGAGGAGACGGGCGAGCGAGAGGGGGAGAGGGAGAAAACCGGGGTGCTATTTCAGTCCAGGCGTTGTCATGGAAACTGCAGCTTCACTACAAATGGAGACATCCAGAACGCGTGGATCGTCCAACAAATGGCGTGTGTAGGGGCCAGCGCGACGCTACGCCATGGCTATGCGACGCGGCTCCAGCTCAGTCGAAACCCAGCCCCCCCCACCCACGCCCCCCTTCCCCCCCTCCACCCTCCAGTCAGACAACTGTGCCGTCTTCTCCATCACAGAGACGGAATATCAATGGGAGGGTAGCTGAGCGGTGGAGGAGGGGGGACGGATGCTGAGAGTCGGGGGGGAGAGGGGAGGGGCTAAGTGAGGCGTCCGTTCGGGCAGCGAGTCACAGCCACTTGCCCCCCCGTCTTTTAATTAACAGTCTTTTCCACACGTCCGTCCCTTCCCTCCCGTCCTCTTGTCTCTTCTTCAGTCTACCCCCTTCCCTCTCGATATCTGTCTCCCGTCCTCTACCTCTCCCTCTCCCTCTATCTCTCCTCCTCTTTCTCCCCCTGCATTCTGAAGGACGGAGGTATTCCCACATTTCTCCGTTGCTATAGCAACACCGCAGCGAGAACAGGAAAGAGAGGACGCAGGCAGGGAGGCGGCGGAGGAGGAAGGGAGGATGGAGATGTGTTGGGGGTGGTAGGAAGGGAAGGGGAGGGGTGTGGAAGTGGCCTAACATGGGGGGGGGGGGGGGGGATGTGTGAATGCTAATGCTAATGGTAGCAGCAGCAACAGAGCAGCCAATATGTTGGTGAATTCCGCTCTGGTCCAAAATGCAAAATGCCATGTGACACTTTGCCAGAGGGAACCTCGCTGCTCGGTATGTTGTTAAGATCATTGACATCTTCCTCAGAATGATGAATGAGAACCGCCACTAACATTTGAATGGTTTTATTTTTCTCTGTGACATCGACCGACTCTGCACAGCTGCAATCCAGTTTCCAGGGCATCGTTTGGGAGGTGAAGATTTAAACCGCGAGAAGTTCTGAGAGGAGATCCGATGTGCTTCTTTCGCAATAATTCAATCAGTTCCCATCGATGCAGATAAGCACAGAAGACACGGGAAGAGCAGAGCTATTTCATATTGATGTCATCATCCCATTCAATCAGGACACAACCCGCAATCTCATTATCTCCACATATATGGTAAGGCCTTAGAACAAAGCAGCGTTGCATCAATATTCCAACACGTTAAGATATGTAACGAGCAGCAACGCTCATGTGGCCAAAACGCAGACATCCTGTTCCACTTTCCTAACTACACGTGTTTGTTTGGCTCGACATGTTGTACAAAACTCAATTATACATCAGCGCGGACGGAAAGGAATACTCCTTCATACATGCCGCATGCACGTGGAAAGGCTTCAGCTTCCCGGCAGCTGGAGTAATCTGCTGCATGCAAACTGTCCCGCTGTCGTCTCCCCTCAATCTCAATCAATAACTCATTTCTTGACGTCGATATTGTTTTCCCCCGTGGGACAAAAATGTCCTTCTTTAGGACAAAAGGAGGACAATCAAGACGGGAGGAGGGGGACGTGAGAAAGAGAAGGATGAGTTTGCTCCGCACTGATATGTCATTGTTTTATTCATACACGGAACGCCCGTGACTTTCATTTTCTGTGGTCAATGTCAATTGAAATACCCGCTGATCTCCACTCGAGCAAAGCTGAAATAATGCTGACGGACAGAGTGACAGGGCACTTTTTGACACCGCGCTTTATATACTATATTGAGGCGCCACATCTTCCTACTCGTAAAGCAAAAATGGGTAAAAGTAATGAAGAATAAATGACAGGAAATCCACCTTTTTGCTTCGTCTGTCAATTCAGCACTCATCTAATCTTACATCGGTGGGTCAAAGCCAAATAAAAATACTTGATTAATTAATACCGCACCATGTTTCCTGTCTAGCTAGGCGTGTAGCCCGCAGCTGGTGAGTTTAGCTCAACTTACATAAAAACTGCAGTTCAGAAGCTCCTGCGAGCACCTGCGAGCTGCGTCCTGCACAGAAGCTCACGCGTGAAGACGAACAGGTCGATGTTAGAATGAGGTTCATGCGTCGGACCAGTTCGTGGACCGGACCAATAACTCATCTGAGTCTTGTCATCACTCTGAGGTTGCAACCAGCAACCGACGTCACATGTTGTTTATGTGCTTGCTTGCGGATTTTTTAGCGTTTGCACAAAGCCAGGCTTGCTTGCTTGCTTCTATGCTAAGCTAAGCTAAGCTATTGGCATATGTGGGGTAAAGTAAAAGTCAGAATACAATTGAAAGTGCCATAAAATGAAGACACCGTTACCGCGCACACAACATTAACAAAGCAAAGAATAAACACTAACCCCATCTGCAGTTATGGTAAATCAATACTCAAGTAAGTAACAACATCAGCCTGAATAGTGTGTCTGCATGTGGGAGTGCATCCACCGGGGACCCATTCGCCACATACAGTACAACCCTCAGGTAATTACGAGGGAAGTCTCCGTTCATTATGCATGTTGGAAAGTAAATATTCAAAGGAAAGTACCAGTAGTTCTGGTTATGCGTGACACGCAAACATCAGACTGTATTATGAAATAGCTCAAAGCGCTGGTTTTCTTGAAACATTATTTAAGAATCAAAAGGGATATTTCTGTCTCTGGCCCATTTCAGACCCACCGACACAATGCAATGTTGTGTGATAATACACATTAACAGTAAAACAGATGTTCATGAGAGATTAAAAAAGATGCTTGAATAATCCGTTGAAGTCCAAACACGTCGCCATATAAAAACCGCTGTGCATTCCACACGCGGCTCGGCAGCATTTGGTGAGAAGAGAAACAATTAGTTTTTTTCTGGGTGACCCGCCTCGCTGGTCAGGTTGAGTGTTTTATCCCCATAAGAGGTGAAGAACTGTTTATTAGTGTAATTAGATTACACTAAAGTATCTTATCTGCTCTCTATGATTTATAAATGTAGATATTTCGGTGAGAAAAATATAAAAAATATCCCTAAATCCAGACGATCTGCTGCATGGCTCCTAATGGTATTGGGAGAAGAGAAAGACTCTAAATATAGACTGAAACAAAAGCAAAGTATGTTCAGTACAGAGTGAAAAAGCCCTCAGCGTATTCAGCAGCGAGCTCATAATTCACCAACGTAGTTCCATGTAATAACAGTCAAAGGCTCAATCGCTGAACAAAGAGCAGACTTTAAATCAAAAGGCTTCTGGTTTCCTTTTATCAATCTACACAAAGTAGGTCCAACTGGGTCACTGCCATCTTCCCCTCACACTTTCCATAACGCCGTAGATCCTCCGTGCAAGCTAATGTAGACAATAAGGAACCATAGGCCGCAGCTAGTTTTCATACGCCCACGCGCTCGCATCGGACGCGCTGCGCTTAAACGCCTGGTGCTTTTTGCATATTCTGCCGCAGCCCGCACAGCGGGAAAAAAGTAAAGTCTGTCTGGTTTCCACAGCGGCCACGCGGCCCGATACCTTTGGCTGGCAGCGGCGTTTATGTGGTGTCAGGTTCCCCAAGGACTCTGCAGTGGGCCATGGGAGGGGGGGATCCCTGGAGAAACACACCGCAGGGGGGCTATTGAGTTTTGAGGGAACAGGGGAGGCTACTGGAAGCACAGAGCGTTTCTAAAAAAAAAAAAAAAGGTTTAGCTTTTTTTAATACTTTAGTTTTCGTTTATGTCTCTCGTGCTAAAACTCCCATTTTTAAATTCCCCTTTTTTTTCATTCAAAATTGCCCTCCATCACATTGCATTAGTGTCATCACACACTGTTGTAGATGCATTTACATTTGAAAATGCCTCTTTCATCTTTAGTGGATTTTCATGTAATTCCCATTTCTGCTGCTGTGCATCACTTCACGCACCCCGTTTCTGTATCATCCGTTTCAGACGTGGCATCTATTGTATGTTCGGATGTTCACGCTGAGGAAGAGCAGAAAGCTGCAAATACACAGATATTAATAATCTGCTTGAAAATGTGTCACCTCGAGGTATTAAAGATCATTGAGTCAACCCTTTGCTTCGGGGGAACGTCGTCGGCAAATAGCGCGCCGTAAGCGTTACACACTCAAGCTGTCTTTCTCTAGCGCTGTTCCAGCATACAGGCCTTTATTTTCCCAGAAGTCTCAGGGGGGAAGCGGAGTACAAGCCAAGCAGAATTACAATCAAGAAAAATGACTTCGCGTGGTGTCCCTCTCGGACGCTACAAACTCGATCCCTCTGCTGTGAGGCCCAAACATTTCATCCGGACGCATCGTTCAGATTGACTGTTACGTGATTCCCTGGAGGTTTCGTAACTCGGGCTCGACATGTGGTGCGTGGGGGACGTCTGCGACGGTCAAGAGAGTTTCAACTCGCCCCAAATGAGTATAAAGAAGAAACCCGAAGAACAGAACGCAGCACTCTCGAGATGAGATCTAGTGATGATGTCACATTAGGATTAATGTGAGTTAGTGTATTTGATCTGCAGATGTCAGATACCTCGAATGGACAGAGTTGATGTTACACCTGTTTGTCGGATTTACAATGTGTGCTAATAATACAAAATGTCTCTGCATATTTATATACAGGTAGATTAATGTAAAAATATGGACCATTTCATTTATTAAGGTAGTTGATTAGAGAATGTTACACTTAGCCGCAGCTATAACTCAATTTGTTATTAGGATTTCTATCAGTAAGATTTTTACAGTTAGAATGGAAGTCAGAATCTTTTTTCCCTATTTGAAAACTGTTGGACATTGCGTCACTATAATCTTATTTCGAAGTGTGTGCAAGTGTGTGTAGTAGGATTGTAGTAGGATTGACAAATAAGTGACAACCAAAAAAATTAGGTAACAAAAACCGTTGACGTTCAGACTTTTTTCATTTTTGTTTTATAAAATTTGACGCAGTAACTTATTTGAAACATCATGTTAAACTTCCGATGTAGTCGGTTGTGATGCTCTGTTGGTTGAAATCACAACAAGTAACGAGTGTTACAGTGAACAAATGTACCTCTCAGTCATTGCATGACAGTCATTGAAGTGCAGCACATGTTGATTTTGCTATAATGAAGAAATACACTTTTCTACCACACTGTGTAGCTGCATGAAGGCATGAAAAAAATGACATTTAATGACAATACATGAAGACCCAAATTGATAATATCACATACTGAGATACAACCAACAACTGGAAAATAAAAAGGAAACAAAAAAAACATAAAATTACTTTTTATATATATAATTATTTTAGTATTAATGAAATCTAATTTCACCTAAAGCTTAAGAATGTTCCCTCCCGCTCTTTCTCTCTCTTTAAAAAAAGCATTCAAAACAGACCCAGGTCATTGTTTTATCAAACACATAGTTCCTTTAAAAGACCAAAAGTTCAGTCCTTTCTTGACTTGCAATTTGGTGATTTGACAATCTTTTTTCATTAAGGAGCTTCAAACAAACCTAGAAATGTCATCTGGCCTGCAGCGTCCATTGTAATCAACGGATGGTGCAGAGGATACGCATATGCCAGTACTCCATCTGCAGCCAAACACCATATACTATATAAAACAGTGAGGTACAGTTGCCCAATATGCACATATTCAGATTTTAGTCTGAAGCTTGTGATTTTCACTAAAAGGGGGTCATACATCTGCAGAATGTGATGGCTTACATATGTACAACGGCAGCCACTATACTACAGATAGAAGAAAGCGCTTCTGCCTTCCCTCAAAATGTTACTAATAATGATGATGATGGAGCACGTTGCATGTAACGGACGTCCAGAGGTTATGAAAGGAACATTTCTGCGCCCATTTGGTGACTCACCGTCGTGATTGAACGCTGCCACGGCGGCGTTCAGGTAAAAAACAAAAAAGGGTTTGTTCCACAGTTAACGTGCAGCGATGCAGGCGAGGAGGTATCTAGTATGCTCTTTCAAATCTGACGGCAGAGTCGCCAGACGCGGCACATCAATGGAGCGGCCCATGTGTTGTGTCTTTAGCCTTCATTTATATTCCATGTGCGTTGAACCCGGCCCACTAGTTCAGCCTGTGGGGTTACAACGCATCTACGTTTACTGCGCTTCTCCTATGAGGTCCAACCTAATTTAGACACACTGATCTGTTCGATCAATCAGTTTACACATGGTGTCGCAAATACAACCAGGCGTATTATCATAGATCATTAAGCAGGGTGAACGGCGTGCGCATTGATGCAGAAGATGTTCCTTTCATGGAACATGAAATCCTTTCAATTAACCTCTTTGACGGTGCAATCTGGGGTGGGGTTTTGTGTGATACCACCACTCATATTATCATCATTATTACTACTATTCCTCAGGGTCCTCGTCGTCCAATGAGTGTGGCCTTGTTGTTGCTAAGAGAAACCATCATCAATCACACAAAACGGCTCTTATATATAAGCAATGCAGTTGTGAGGGGGGGGGGGGTGCAACAGAAAACGCCCCAGCAAAATCCCATTCAGAGCTGCGTCCCAGTCCAAAACCTTGTTGACATGACTTGGTTGATGATACTATCTCAGGTACATTTATCTGGAATAACTGGTCCAGTTTGTGCTCAATTGCAACAAACATTTTTAGGTTCCTGCTCGATACAACAACAAAAAAAGAAGCGATATTTCATTCATTAAACATCTTTTCTCAATTCTTCGACCCTTTTCCACACCAGTACAAAGAACCGCCGTGGCAGAAGCGTACTGGGGTCGAATTTCAGACAAAAGCAGCTTCGTTAAGTATAACTTTTTATCGAGTTCTGTTAAAAACACTCATTTTGTAAAACCCGGCATTTCTGTGGAACATCTAAAAGCCTGTGTGACCGTGTTAATAAAGCAGCACCTGTCATTACCGGGATGACTTAACCACAAACCAATACATTCAATCCAGGTTCAGCACGGAGGCCTGCATAATGTCTCACCCTTCACTAATGTGGTTGCCACATTGACCCGCCACAACCCAATATTTGATTGATTTATTTCACACGTAATGATACATGGCTAGACAACTGTACACATTATATCAAACTAACAAAAATAAAGAAATACATAGTTGAAACGCTAGAAGCGTAAATGGCATTTAACATATGAAAGTTACACTGTAAAAATGTGGATCTTACAATTGTCATACAACCAGACATTATTATTATTAATATACTGTACATTTCCATTCATTCCAATCATCCTAAGATGGATGTTTTATCCCTTCTTGAATACTGCTGCAGATAATCATCCTTATGACAGCATTTTATGGCATGATTATGGTAACCATGACCAAGGGGGTCAGATTCCTGTCTAAAAGCAAATATCTGGCTACTGATCTGATTCAAATAACACATTGTCAACACTTTAGTTTTACCCACACAGGTCTTGCATTGTTAGCTTTCCGGGTTTGTGAAACACCTTTTTAACATTTATGGGATGCTGGCATTTAAGTATCAGAATTGTCGATTCAAATACCAAGTAGCTGGCTTTTACAAAATACATAATACACTCTCAGAACACAAAAGTTTGTAATGATTATTACTGAAGCAACAAAAAAAGGTTTGTCAAACAGAGATCTGCAATTACTTTTCCACAACCTAAACGGACTTTATGTTACAAAGCCAATTCAAAGATTCACAATGAGTGTTGCAATTGAGCCCTTATGTTTCTGAGAAGTAGCCAAACTTAAAACACGTATCATAACCAACCTTCGCCGTCGACGCCCCTGATTATCCACAAAGAAACAAACTACATCCACCCCAAAATATCTCTGCATCGGAGTCTGCAATGATACATATTTAAATGAAAATATATTTATATAATTTGTGGATTTTTCACAGTAGTTTGTACTGCACTGTACCTTTCTGTCCGTCTATTTATGCCTACATAATTGTCACCTTGAGGGAGTCTATTCGCTTGAGAGAGAGAGTGTGGCTCGTGTGGATGAAAAATGTCTCTTGGATTTTGTTCCGCAACATCTCCGATCTTCAGGGTTGTGAGTGCCATGCGTGCCTTTCCTCTCCTGCTGGCCAACACCAATTTGGGTACTGATTAATCCTAAAGGCTAGTTTTCCCTATGAGAACACAGCTTGTAGAAACGGCAAAAAAACATTTGCTTTGGCACAGATTTACATTGTAGCAATGTCCATTCCTTGATCTCCATGATCGTTACTACAAACACAAGTGGCCCGTTGTGGTAATCCTTGGCTCAGTACGCTGTCACGGAGAAGTCTATGTGTTTGTGTATTGCCGTGTCAGTCTATCCTCTTTCCTGGTGTAATGTCAATGCACTCTAGTGTCTAATCATTCCGCGCATAAAACCAACATCAATCCCCTCTCTGTCTCCAAATCTCACACTCTCTCTATACTCGCTTTCCTTTTTAGATCTGAGTCTCTTGGACGTTTTCTTTTGAGTTCCCCTTGAAGAGAAGTGGCTCCATTTGGGGGTTCTGGTTTTGGCCCATGAAGCCCTTGATGGATCCGTGTAAGCCCATGGTAGGCATGGGAAGGGACATCGGCAGCGGTGGCGACATAGAACAGGGGTTGATGTTGTTGCCATTGCCGGATTGGGTGAGCATATTAGACGAGGAAATTGGGACCGAGGTGCACGAGATGGGGATGTCCTGGACATGCTGGTTCTTGCTATTGAGCATCATTCCTGGTCCCATCCCATCGGAGCCGATACTCAGACCCATCACGTTGTTGTTGAAGTGATGGGATTTGTAGTAATGGTTTAGGGTGTCTGTGCGACCGATATTGGGCAGGTTGACTATTTCTGGATGATGTCTCCTCAGGGTTCCTTCTCCACAGCCGGAATTCATCGTTGAGCCGCCTGAGATGCCGCTCCCGGCCCCGGCTCCGATCTCATCTTCTACGTTGACAATCTCGATGGCCCTGGCGGGGCCATGGTGCTTGTGTAGCTGGTGCTGCTTGCGCAGTTTGTAGAATACAACCAACATCACAGCTGCCATGAAGGTAATGGCCACGAAGCAACCTATGATGATCTTAGTTGTTTTCATTACATCATCTAGGCCGGGAATGTTAGTTACATCAATTATGGACACAGTCACTGCATTTGCCGTGGCTCTGTTGGCTCGTGGGGAAAGTGAGGAAAGAGAGGAGAGGGAGGGCGATATAGTGATGCCAGGCCGGCCGTCCAACACACCTCTTTGAACAGTAGGATTGGGGAAATCTATGAAGGTCTCATTAATGTACTGTCTTGCTGAATTCTCCTCGTCTCCTCTCACTGTCTCCACTGTTTCCACAGTGACGGTGGTGAAATAGCTGTAGCTGTTGCTGGGGTCTGAGGCGGACACATTGAGCACGGCGGTCGCTGTGGTGTTTCCCGCGGAGTTGGTCACCATGCAGGTGTACTGCCCCGTGTCTTGCACCGTCACGTTTGTGAAGTTCAGTGTTCCGTCGTGAAGCACTGAGATCCTAACTCGGTACGACCCGTGAGTCATCAGAGTGCCGTTCGGCGTGAACCAATTCACGGAGGTCATCGAGGTTCCGGTGCGACATTTGAGCTCGGCGGCCATGCCCTCTGTGACATTGAGGTCAGTGGGTGGCTCAACAATCACCGGGGCGTAGCAGGTGAAGTGGCTCTGGTCTAGCTCCCCTATGTATTTGCCTTTTATACCTGGGGGCGCGTGGCAACGGGCACAACACGTGGTGTTGCTGGGAACCGTTTCTTTCAGCCACCAGCTGAGCCACAGAACATCACAGTTGCACACCCATGGGTTGTGGTTCAGATGTACCCTCTCCAGCTGGTGCAAAGGTGTGAAGAGGTCATGGGGCAGGGAGTGCAGGGAGTTGTGGGAGAGGTTGAGCTCCTCCAAGTTTTTGAGGTCGTCAAAAGCGTTGCGTTCAATGACTGAGACTCTGGAGTGCATCAGCCACAACTTGCGGAGCGACACCAGGCCCTGAAAGGACCCGGGCCTGACTATCCCCAGCTGGTTCCCTGACAGCTCCAACTCCTCCAGTCGTACCAGCGGGGTGAGGTTAGGGATGTCCTTCAAGCCACACATGCCAAGGTTTAAGAAGCGCAAGTTGACCAGACCTTCGAAAGCAGCATCCGAGATGTAATCCAGCTTCCTGAGTTCCCCTAGATCGAGACGGCGTAACGAGGGAACGCGGTGAAAGGCATATGCCGGCAGTGTCTCGATAGGGTTGTTCCGTAGCCATAGTTCTCTTAGCTTGCTGAGGTACTCAAAGGCTTGTGACGGTACCACTGTGAGACGGTTGTCAAAAAGCTCCAGCGTGTTGAGGTTCGGAAGGCCATTGAAAGCTCCAACCTCAATTTGCCGGATGTGGTTCTTGGAGAGCTGGAGGATTTCCAAATGCCGCAGGTGTTTGAATGTGTCAGACTTGATCACCTGGTGTGGAAACAAAAGAATGGGGGCGTTTTGTAGCAACATCAGAATTCGGTACGAATGCGATGCCGATTTGAAGACAAATTTACATATTTACCTGGATTGTGTTCTCTTGCAGATTGAGGTATCTTGTGTTCTCTGAAATGCTGTCTGGGACTTGATCTAAAGTCTTCCTTGTACAGATGACACGGCTCGCCTGATTGGAGCAGGTACAGGGGGTGGGGCACGGGGGTGCTGCCTCCGTCAGCTGTGGTCCATGGTTGTGAAACCACAACAAAAGCTGGACCAACCAGAGGAGGGGGGAAGGGGTACAGGGGCTGGTCACCATGACAACACGCATGGCAACTGAGTCATGACCCACCCCTATTGCTATGATGTCAATAAGTCACCTCCAAACAGGAGAATTTAGGTGCTTATCTTGATATTCATATTTTATGCCAGTATTCTGTTTTTCCCTGTCAAACAGTCACTTTAAAAATGGAGAGGGAAAAGGGTGATGTTATATTAAACACTCTATTTATCATTAATAAATTCTTATTTGACTCTCATGCTCTTTTGACTATCAAACTCCTTGTTCTTTTCACGAGCGCTTTTTAGGGAACTCTATATTGTTTTTTCCCATGACAATTATTCAAATAGAAATGCAATTTGTGGCAGGGTTTGCCCGTGGATGTGTTGTCTCTGTAGATGCTGTTGCTTCTCGCTGGAGGGGGAAGAGAGAAAGGGAGAGAGAGGAAGGAGGTCAAGTAAGTGCAGTGCAGTAGCTTTAAGAAATTAGCCTCACACAAACATGCATGTACTGTAGACCCAATATTGCCTTGAAATCTAAAAATATTTCAATGCCCTATCACCAGTGTGTGGCAAGATAGGCCAGGCTTGTTTTTCTCGGTTTGCGGCATGTGGACCAACTGGTGAGTCAGCTGCCATTTTCTTTATAGGTTGAACTTACCATCTGGGTCACGATCTGAAATGGCCAAAAAACGTCTTAAACACCGAGCTGGGTCACAAGTGCTGCAGCCGACACATTAGGGTGGCAGTCTCACCGTCCACTTTGTGATAGCCAGATGCATATAAGTTGAGTCTCACATTTAAAATTAGGCCAAGATGTTGAATGTAATTACAACGGCTTTTGGGAGTCATCTAGACATAAGGTTAATGCAGACACTGGTGCAATCCATCATGAGGCAGCCGCAGTAATCTACCAATTAAGATATGGAGGAAGGATGATTGACTCCTGAAACGTGTACTGCAATGCACATGCTGGCTACAATGACAACCCAAAATTCAGATCCCTGGCAACAAAAGTTGACCCACCAAAACAAAATACTGACTACTGGATTGTGAATAAAGAAAATAAAGGATAGTGCAGAAAGGTTTTTAGGGATTTTGTTATACATTTATGAGTATATGTGTGTCGTTGGTTAACAAGGGTGTAATGGCCGCAAGCCTCAGCAGGCTCACTAAATTTAGAGAAGAGGATGGGCTGTTTCCCTTTCAATGATTAGACCTGGAATAAAGTGTTGACTGTTTTCAAGGCACGTAATGTTCGACTCTCGCAGTCACAAGCCTGTGCTGCCTGCTGTAAACAAATAAGATCTCTGTTGCCTGTCACTTACATGACTGCCGTGTTGCCCTCGTTCATTTAATAACTCCATTTTATTCTCTAATAAACAGGTTGTTTTGAAAAAATAAAAAAAGCCTCAGTCCTGAGCGTTGCCTCTCCTATGCAGCGACGATGCATGCGCTCCTAGAAACACGGTTGCTGTGGCAACCTGCTCCCTCACCATCTTGTGTTCTTACTGTCCAGTGCCCTATTCCACATTACTGTGTTTAGCAGAGCCTGATGAATATTTTCTGTTAAAAACTGATCAGACTGAACGGATGACTTCAGGCTTCGGGCTTTCACAACACTCGGTGTTACATACAAATTAAATAAGACAACTGATTCTAGAGGAATAACGATTAAATCTACTTGAGCTCACATTTGAACCGTGGCCTTAAATATCAGAACAGAAGGAACACATTTGCAGAGAATCTTAATGACTACATAATCTATAACTTTTAAATCAGCCATTAGAGAAGTTCATAAGGGAACGTATGCTAAAAATATACTTTTTAGATGCTCTGTCCATCCCACAGACTGTCTCTCTGTAACTGCAACTGAGAAATAAACACACATTACCCAACACCTAAATGTTACTGCATGCAGCCCCTCCTGCAGCACTCATTATGCTGTTCTTTACACTGCCGTCCTCCCCTGAAGATTCTCCGTATCATCCCCATCCTGCAGGTTATTGTGCGTTTCAATCATCTGACTAAATTGAAAATAAAAAGAAATGTATGATACCCAGGATGACCGTTTGATGAGTGAAAATGATCCCGAAAGCATCAAAACACGTTATTAATGTCCAGCTGCAGCAACTCATTCACTGTTAACTTACTTATTTTGGATCGGGTTTTGTTAAGAATATGAACAGGAGAATGTGATTTCATGAAAGCCATTCCCTAATTCAGCAACTATTCATTCTGATGTCACAAAAATGAACACTTGTTTCCTCCATTGCATCAATAAAAGGATTACTTTCAGACAAAACCCTCTGCCCGGATGTCATAAATGTACAGTATTTCTACTCCTCAAATGTAGCAATGACGAAAACGGTACGTTAAAGGAATTGGCCGTTGCTGTTTCTTTGCATTATGTCACAGAGGAGAAAGTATGTAAATCACCACGCAGGGTAAGATTTCATGATGGGAGAGACCTTGAATGCAGCCGGCAGGACGCCTGTTGCCTTGACCTCCCATCGCCAGGTTCTCCAGAAACAACAGCTATATTTTTAGATTGTCACCATTTGACTCATCCGAGGGCCGGTTCCTTCGCCAGAGGCCTTCATCCTCCTCTTTGTGCAAAATGTCTCTCCTTTAGGTTCATTGTACTGCATTGTATTTTCTTTCACTCGCTTGTATTTCTCTTTCTGGATCTTGGCCGTTTTTCCATGTCAGGGTAGATTGCAACCATGTAGATATCGATTGTTCGATCGGGCCCGGAGAAAGCGCTCAGCCGTGAAAAGACAAATTAGCTGCAAGCTGCTGACCAATTGCTACAAACCAATCACATCATCGTAAGCGCCTGGTTTTATCAATCCCTTGCTCTCCGCAACAGAGCCATCAAGGTTTATGAAGAGGCAAAAACCAGGGTGCTGTTTTCAATGAACGCCGAGTCTCGGGGCCTGCGAGATGCTTCCTGTGTGCCAACACAAGGCCCAATTAGACCTCGTGCCGAGGTGGACACAAAGCGACACAGGTGCAGCAGGGCCACCATCATCTGCTGTAACCATGACAACACTAGATTGATTCAGGACGTGGGAAAGATGGTAGAATGGGACACATTTTTACCGCTAACGACGGGCACTTTAAAGAGAGGAAAATGCAGGTTTATGCTAAATGTTGCCTCGTGCTCCTCTCATACGCGTTTATCCGACGGCAGTTTCATTTTCCAATTTCTTTGATGTGGGGAAAAAAAAAAAAAAAAAAACACCCAGCCATAACCTGACCATTCCTCCCTACAGCGGCAACCTCTCATCTGCAAACCTCTGCTCATTTTATAGCCTCTAGCATCATATCTCCTGCAATTCAACAGAATGGCCTTATTCATCTATGCAGCTGCGCTCGCCACGGCGCACCTTCTCCGGGACGCAATTGAAATTCTGAATAGGCCTAATTCTGCACATGCTGCATTACAAAATGGCTTGCATCCATTCTCTCTTCGGCGTAACGACAGAACGACTGCGCCCAACAGCGATGCAAAGTTGTTGTTGTCGTTTTTCGGGGATCGTGTGAAAACACGCGTTTTGCACCAGGAAGCACGACATTTCAATACAATTGCGAGGACCGGCGCTGCTTTATTCCGCATCTCCTGCTCACGTTATTGCGTTTTTTTTTTTTTTTTTTTACTTACGTGATTAAGAATCCGCGCAACTTTAGCCCGATCGGTTGTCCAACCTTTGACGTTGTCTCAGCGTGCAGACGATGGGCGAAGCATGCGATAATTACGCCCGGCCATTTCCGTCCCTTCTACCTGTGCGACCGATAAACACACGTACCTTAACATGTGGGTGGCTGCGGCGCGGGAAGGTCGACGTTTTCTCTCCCCTCGTCCGATCGCCGGTTTCTCCACCTCGCTTTCGCGTCTCTCTCCCCCCGGGTTTTTCTCTTCTCCCCCCCCCCCCCCCTAAATTGATTCGCTTGTTCCCGCGGCCGTGAAGCTGCCTCTTGTTCTCGGAGCCTCTTCCGCAGCGCCAACGCAGCGCGGCGCGGCGGGCTACGGCGACGTGTTACAGATGGACAACAATCCACACAGGGGCACGCAGGAAGAGCAACAAAAAAAACAAAAACAAAAAAACACACACACACACACACACACAACAACGACAACACACACACACAAAAAACCCGAGCTCAGGCGCAGGGGTCGTTGGAGAAAACGCCGTCGGTAATGTCACATTCGGGGAGCGCGTGCATCCGAGCGCCTTTTCATCCTTGGAGAGGAGCGCAAGCAGCAAACGGCGACGGCGCCCGGTGGGCAGAGCTTTTTGCGTCCAGCGCGAGCGCCTTTACGCACATTCCGTATGTTCCGGTCACAATCCCACCGAGGGGGGGCTTTGGAGAAATAGACGGAGCCACTATTTAGGGATGTAGATGATTTGCACTTTTAAACTGTGCCTCCAGCTCCGAATGGTTCATTTTGGGGTTTTTAGTCTGTCTGGTGCAACATGAGTCCTGTATGAAGTGGACGTGTAGTCACATATTCATTATTATGACTCAGCAAGACTTATTTGGTAGATTGAGTTACATGTGTTTGTATTTCTACTGCGAAATGCTTTTGCCCCCTTTTTTGGGGTGTGGGGGGGGGGGGTTCAGAGACACCTGTTCAACGTTGAACCAACAGGCCTAAACGTCTGCAGTAACACACATTCATGCTCCATCAGGTCTTAAAAAGCCCAAAGTATGTGAATGTGCGATGCAAGCATGCATTTCAGATTTGGTCCACTGAGGTCTGTTTCCTGCAGTCTTTGCTTGTGACTATTGTTTCCCTGAAGCATTTCTCAACGGTGTATATTTGTAGCTGAACATAACGAAGCCCCCCGGCACGTTTCCATTGCTGTCAGTATCCTGACATTGAGAGCAACAACTCACAGTCCTGTGAGGGTTTCACAAACCTTCACATTTCTGAATCCTAAAAATGTCCGTCTGTTTTATTTTGCGTTCCAGAGTTTAGCTTCCAGTGGGCTGCTCGATGTTTTAATAGTGCATTTTAAAGAATGCCAGCAAGCTGTTGAGCGAGCTTTTTCCCGTACTGATCTTTGTCCACGTGTGGCCAGTTGTCTTCTATATGCATTTGTCCTTCACAAGCATTTACTTTAGCTCAGAATAAGCGGCGGAGAAAACAGAGGCGTCCCTCGCAGCCTCGCTTCTGCAGCCAAAAGACGTCGTAGGTATTAATAAATCCCAGAACATCTTTGCTCTGTCTCACACGAAAGGTCAAAGGACAGAGAAGGCCAGTAATGCTTCAGAAAGACCCCTGAGATATGTACTCTCTCCCTCTCTCTCCCTCGCTCCTCCCCTCCCTCTCTGAATGCCGTAGTGAGCATTGTTCACGACCACTAGCTTTTGCCGAAAGCTGCACAGCAATGAGGTCTCTGTGCCTTCCTCTCCCCTCCCCCCTCCCCATGCCTCCCTCTCTCTCTCCCTCTCTCTTTCTCTGTCTCCCCCCCCCACACCCATCTCCCTCTCCCTCCTTCGCCGTCTATCTCACTGCCTCTATTAAATTTCCAGTCACACAGTGGTGCAAAGGATATTCCCCCTTTCCCCTCTTCCTCCCTCTCCCCTCGTTCCCTTTCGCTGGTGCTGAGGTCTGAGCCCACGTCCAGTCTCCCGTCCGGGTCCCTGGCTGCCTTCAGATGACACTCTCGGCGTCTCCCTCATCCTCCCTACGTCTTCTCAACATTCAAACCACCCCACCGCGCCAATTGAAAAGGTTCCGCCGACGCGCATGACGAACGCCCCCCCTTCACCACCTTAAGTCCGCAGTGCGTGATGCTAGTCAGGAGCTGGAATTTCCCCGTATGGCTGCCCGCTGTGTGTGTGTGTGTGTGTGTGAGAGAGAGAGAGCGTCGGGGTGGGGGGGGGGAGGTAGAGGGACATGCGTTTGTGCAGCAAATGAACAAACACTCATCTCTGTATTGCTTGTGTCATCAGTACAGGACGCCTCTGGGAGTAGAAATAGAGCAGAGAGCTGCTCCCGCTACCCACAGGACAGGAGTGCATGGCGTTTCCACTACAACCCGAGCGCCCATAACCTCTTAATGCTGTGTTAGGAGCCACAGGGTGTGGGGAGGGGGGGTGTGGGGGTAGAGGAGGTGGACGGGGCGATGAGGATTTGGCAGCAACATGCTAGTGCCACGACATATGTGGCATGCTGATAGCGCCGGAGAGGTGCAGCTCACACTGTGAAGAAGCTTTAGGCGGCCGCTGATACACATCCGTCGCTTCCATCGTTTCGGGATGCTAGCTGCAGGCCTCGCCGCCCCGGGAGTGGGTGGTTGAGTGTTTGCGCGAGCTTGAAAATGTGGATCGTTTGTGTCGCAGCGGCGGCGATGTTAGATCTGGGTGAAGAGCATCGGGGGATCTGTTCAATGGCCCCCGAGCGTCCAGTTAGCGTTGTGTACAAAGGGATGTTTTTGGTGGTTATTTTTAGAAATCTTGAAACATTGTGCTCATCGCCATCTGTGCAGGAGAATAAGAGCGATGCGAGGGAGACTTTCGAGTTATTCATGGTGACATCTCTGTGTTTGTGTTAGAGAGACAGAGAGGGACAGAAAATAGAGGGAAAAATCCCAGTGTCACAGTATCTTAGCAACTGCCTCCATCTCCTTGGAGACAAGAGCTGACATCATTTCCTGTCTGAGGGAACTTACTTTTGGTTTTGTGTATGTGCGTATGAGGACGTGTGTGTGTGTGTGTGTTTGTGTGTGTGTTTGTGTGTGTGTGTTGGCCTGTGTCCATGTTCTTATGCAGATGTGTACCGATGCGAACAGGATATATCTTTGTGTTTCAGTCAGGCTGCGTTCAAGAATGAATAAAAGAATAAAACAACACGGACAAACGAATGTAATTTTCTGCATTAACATTTCTTCTGACTTGTATTTCATCTTAAAAAAGACTTCTAAGTCTGTTTGTAATTCAAATAGAATTTTAGAAGGTAGTGAAACCATTAAATCAAAAACCTACACCAATAGTTTCCAGTTCTAAATGTTTTTTTCTTTGAAACAAATGGAAAGCCATTTCTTACAGCTTCAGTGTGAGTAACAAACTTAGGTTGCAACATAATTGCCTTTAGACATAACGCCGAGCTTTCACAGTGGAGTTTGTGGAAGTGTTTGTGAGTAATATAAAGCAGCGGGATGTTCACGCAGGCCTAGCAGGCCTCTGGGGTTTATCTTCAGCTGCCATCTTGTGAGGAGAGGAGTGAACTGCAGCCACAGATCAAATCCTTAAATCACTGTTATTGCATGTAACGCATTTTAACCCGAGCAGCAGACATTTTCTGTCCTAACCTGCAGGTTTGGAACGTCTAAACGACTCTAATGTGACGCGACAAGCCTCTTTTGTTAAGAGCAGAGTTTCTAAATCAGAAAAAAAGATGTGAGAATCAATTCTCTCAAAAGCATATTTACCAAAATGTCAAACTATTTCTTTTTTTTAAAAAGTGGGGATTTGCAGATGGTGACCTTCTGGTGAAAGATCATGACACATGGATGCATGTAAAGCTGAGAGTTCTTTGCTCAACAGCCCCGTGGAGTTTGCCTCCAAAGCGTTCGGTGACATTCAAAAAGCCGTTCTCACACAGAAACAAATCTGGCCCCTGACGCATTTTAGGATGATTTTGTTTTGCAGATGCACTGAGGGAGATTGATGACACAAGAGTGAAGAAAACTAAAAAGCCTTATTTTCAGAGACCGGCAACGGTGTTCTGCAGAAAGCACGTCTGTACTGGGATCACAGCGGAGGATTCACATGATTGTAAGATGCTAAAGATTCACGGCATAAACAATCTGGGTCAACAAAACATAAAACAATAGAGAGCTTTAAAACCTTGTAGGCCTGTATTACTATTCCAGTCTCGCATGAATCAGCAACACAAAGAGTCAGAGCATCACACGGTGTACAAGACGTCCCAGGGGAAGCCGTGTCCAACGTTGTGCCGAGCCGATGCTTCAGCAGGAGTTGTACACGTCAGCAAAGCCTTCTCATTCAAGCGCACAATTTCAGCATTAAAGTCCATCAAACAGAGCAGAGGGGAAGTTGAGGCAGCAATGATGTGGTGCAGGGCCAGAGGCAGACCAACACAACATACGGTGTTATATCGTGAGCTAAGCTTGCATAAGTGCAGATGTGTATATGTATGCGTGTGCAAGAGCAGAGGAAGGGTCAGTTGAACGGTGTAGTTCCTGCAGGGACGTCTGCTGTGCAGCTCTACCTTTGCCTCCACCAAACAACTTCTTTCTGCGTAAAGGTGTAGTTGAACGATGAATGAAATCACTCGTGTCCTCCTTGTTTCCGCGGCCGCACGTGTCCTTAAAGTGCATGTTGGTGCACGAGAGCATTGCCCCACTGGTCAGCTGATGGCCGCTGTTTTGCACTACTCTCATCACAGCTGGCAGTAGTGTGAGAAACGTTGTTAGCACGGTTAGCGCCGTTAGCTGTGAGCCAAAAGTGAGTCCAGATCCCAAAGACAACAGTAGTAGTGTATATATGAGGTTGTTTTATTATGGATTCTACAAGCCTACAGTTACATTTGAGTCCCATAAGAATATAAATATATATAAATCAACAATAGACAGAAAGGATGTCCCACAAGCACAGTGCAGAGTGACGAGCTGTGACGAAAGAGCAGCGCGTGGTTGTTGAAAGAATTAGTTTGTGTTCATGTACATGTAGTTGAACCATAAGTAAAGAGCGGTAAGATTCACGCGTTGTTCTCTTCAGTTCACCAGAGGCCACCGGACGAGTCACTCATCATTTGTCAGATTTGTTT